TCTGATTTACATAATTGTACTGTGGTTATCTAAGAATTTCCTTATTCTTAGAAAACATACACTGAAGTATTTGTGTGTCAATGGACATGATGTCTCCATCTTACTCTCACACAGCTCAAAAAATACTATATACAAACGCAGATACAGAGGGGTAAAGCAGACGAGGAAAAGTGTGAATAATTGGTGAGCATGGGTAAAGGGTACGAAGGAGCCCCTTATTTGCACAACTTTTCTGTAAATGTAAAATTATATCAAATCAAGTTATAACAATATTTAGCCTCTTAAAAGTAAAATATAAAGGTATACATTATAAAAAGGTTTTCACTTTTGAACCAGGTTAACGGCTGCATTTTACTATTTGTAAATTACGTCTTTAAAAAAAAAAACTAATTGAAAAATGTTTTTAAGATGCATAGGTCAATAAAATGTCATGCTGCTTTATCACATTTGCAAGGATTTAGCAAAACTCATCAGTAACACTGATCTGAAGCTCTGATTGACCATTATGTTTCTGATTAATAAGCATAGGGAGTGTTTTTTAAATAAATACAGCTGATGTGAAACTGAATCAACTTGTTCTTATCAGTTTAAACTCAATGAAACTGATCGATTTCAACTAGTTCGAGTGTCTCAAATCGGACTTAAACTGGATCAAGCCTCTTTGAATGACCCTTCCCAGTTTCAACTGTTTTCAACTGCATAGTTAAGAGCTTAGGTTCTGGAATCAGGTAAAAACCCTGCCTGTATCACTTCTTAGCTGTTAGTCCTTGGGCACGTTAATTTATCCTTTCCAAATCTGCTTCTTCATCTATAAAATGAGGTAAGAGTACTTCTCTCATAGAGTTATAAAAATGAAGCATCGTGGGGCGCCTTGGTGGCTCAGCCGTTGAGCGTCTGCCTTCGGCTCAGGTCATGATCCCAAGGTCCTGGGATCGAGCCCCGCATCGGGCTCTCTGCTCAGCGGGAAGCCTGCTTCTCCCTCTCCCTCCCCCTGCTTGTGTTCCTGCTCTCGCTCTCTCTGTCAAACAAATAAAATCTATAAAAAAAAAAAAAAAAAAATGAAGCATCGTGATGTATGTAAAGCCTGAGAACAGTAACTGGCACCAAGCACGTGCCCCATAAATACTATTCACTCGAAGTGATCAAATTCCGTTCTGCCTGGCTCAGACCGGCTGGACCAGGAAGAGGGAAAGATGACTTGGCTGACAGTTGATAATAAGCTCCTTTTTCTAGTCCCAGTTTCTTCCCTATTAAAGGCTCCTCTTCTGCCCACTCCTGAATTCCTCCAAGAATTCTTGACATCGCCTTCCCCCACTTACATCTCCTGGCTCCGAGCTCCAAAGTGAGGATCGCACAATGGAAGCCAATTATCCTGAACACAAATGTTCGCTTGAGGTGCTGTTTCCTACCATGCCCAAAGCTCCATGAGGAGGTCTCAGGTTCCCATTCCACTTCCTTAGTGTCCCCTGTGCCCCTGCCCCCCTGCCCCCGCTAGCGTACCGGGTGCTGAGCCAATAACTCTGAATTTTAGCTCGGGTCATGTCGGAAGGGGAGATGCCACAGTGGCCGTACTCATGTGTATCTCAATGGAGCAGAGTGAAAACAAATGACATTTAATACTTATTCACAAAGATGCAGTGTTTTCTAACTACTTTATTACGAGAAACTCATTTGAGACATCCATTCTCTCTCTAGATCTTGCTCGTTTAAGACTCTAAGAACCGGACTCCTTGAGCCGAAGGATTATGCCCTTTCTGTTCGGGAACAGTCCCCTACCCACCCTTAGTAATACCACGTACTCCATTCTAATTCAAAGAGCAACAACCTCTTTTTAATGCTTGTGTTAGCACATATATTTCTCTCTCCAAGCCTATAAGGTAGGAATTCTTTTTTGCTCCCTTTACAGCGAAGGGAGTCACTCGGCGAGTAAGTGATGGAATGGGAGCTTGGACCCAGCTCCTCAGACTCCAAATCCTTCCGGGTTTAAGGGCGATCACTGACTCTCACCCTGGCTCCACACAGACGCTGCTCACTGAACGTGGGAACCTCCGCCCTGCTCCTGCCCAGGTCGGTGTTCACCCCGACCGACCTCATCCTTTGGTGTCCGAGGCAAAGGGGTGCTTGCAGCACACTTAGAGAAAAAAGTGGTGATAGCTTCCAGATGAGCTTGTTATTCTAAACTTAACATTCCTTTTGGTACTTAGAATTTCCACTTTCTCTCTTCCACCCCTTTGCGTTTATGTAATTAGAAAGCATGCAACAGGCAACTTGTTTGTGTCTCCAGACCACTCAGGAGGAAGGCTGCTCCAGCCCCATGGAGTACATCCTTGTGGAAATACTTTGCAGAGTTTATTTGGACAGGTTCAAAAATAGTCCTTCAACAATACAATCAGATTGAACCACGACAAGTAAAATGTAATTATGGCTTGGTTACATAAAAAAAAAAAAAAAAAAAAGGAAAGAAAAAAAAATGTAAACAGTGAGGCTTGGGAAAACTAAAAGCAAATCTACATAGATCTCTCCTTCGTTCCCAGTCTTGGCATTTCCTACAAGCATGATTTCAAGACTTTGTCCTGGGATCTTTTGAAATGGATGAGAAGATGACACTCGCTTAAGGAGACAGCTCAACAAGAGTGTGTTCTGAGGCCATGTCTCAGAACAAAGGCCTACTGCTGCATAAGGCAAATGCAGCCTGATAAAGGCTCCCCCAGTGGGTACTTGGAATGCCAAAGTCATTCACCTAAATGAGTTCAAAATACATATTGTTCTGGGCCAAATTATACAGTGTCAAGCTCAGACTGTATGAATTTATATATGTTGGCAGAGCAGGCCACTTTCGGGGCGCCACAGCCTTATCCTAGTATCCTGTGCCCAGTTGGGTTCCCATCACTCTCCCCCCAAATCCATGAATTTCCTTGTATTTGGTTCCAGAAGGGCAGACAAGAAGCAAAGTCAAAGTTTCATAGCCCCACAAGGGAAAAGAGCCCCGGAGGACTTGAATTTCTAATGAAACTTAAAGTAGAACAGAATGTGTGCCTTTGCCAACGAGCTGGAACTTTCTGAAAGTTGATTTGAGATGGGGGCAGGGAGTGGGGACAAAATTGAGCACTGTGCTTCGGGCCAGTCTCTGCTAAGAGCTCCAAGGCAGCTCCAAAGTGCTCTGGAATTAAAGCAAACAGCCAATGCTTCCTTTGGCCGACCTTTGCCCAGAATCATTCCCTCACAGAGCTGACCAGTTTCTCAAACACAGAAGTGGCGTTTCAAAGATGCTGGGCAAAGGGACTCTCCAAACATCATGCCCAAGCCAATAACTTAAGCGAGATAGGGAAGCCTGCTTCCAGTGTCCATTTCCACTCCATATGCTTCTGACATTATCCAGAGAACCAGTGGGCATGCTGTGATTTGTGTTTTCTTCTTTTTTGAAAAGGGACCTGTTACTCTTCTGCCTGAATAAAGATGGAAAAATTAGAGGGAAATAATAACTTTTAAAGCAAATATGAAGACAAGAGTAAGAAATGAAACAGGTTGCAAAGGCATTTTTTCTTTTAGTGACACGGGTTATCTTGATCATGGAATGAAAGGAGCAGAGTGAAAAACAGCAGAATGGCTATGGTGAGCCAGGGCCATGACTTCTAGTCCTGGGCTCAGGCCCCCTTTGGGCTTTAAGTGATTCAAATCAACAAGAAGGCCCAGAGAGCAGAGGAGTCGACAGTTTGCAGGGCAGAGAGCCACTGCTGCCTGTTCTGGTCCAGAGCTTAGCACCCCTTTCTGGAAAGGGGGGTGGGGTGAAGGATGACGGAGGGAAAAAAGAGAGGGTATTTCTACCCTGGATCTACTCATTGCGATACTTGCCAAGAACCGTCGAATCAATGTTCCAGAACTGGGATCAGACACTAGTTCTACCCCGGTGCCTGGCCTCACCCTCCACACCTCTCCTGGCCCCTGCGGACCTCTGTGTCATTCCCCAACGACCGTACGCACCGCGTGACTCCGCGCCTTCACATAAGCCACCCTCCTGCTCTTCCTCGTCTGGCTCGAATGTCCACGTCCACTTCAAGTCCTGGTCCACGGTATCCCTCCTCCGCCAGGCCATCTGAAGGACACTTGGCTATTCCTTCTCCTTGGTTCTCACTGCACTTCTCCTACACCCCTCCGCTTCGGGGTCAAGAGTCTGCAGGCCCAGCCTTCCACCATACTCGAAGCATCTTGTATCTTCCCTTTCCATCTATCTCTGCGGCCTGGAACAGTGCCTGGCTCACACAAGATGCTCAATCAACATGTACAGGATAGGGGCACCTGCGTGGTTCAGTCGTTAAGCATCTGCCTTCGGCTCAGGTCATGATCCCAGGGTCCTGGGATCGAGCCCCGCATCGGGCTCCCTGCTCGGCGGGGAGCCTGCTTCTCCCTCTCGCACTCCCCCTGCTTGTGTTCCCTCTCTCGCTGTGTCTCTGTCAAATAAATAAATTAAAAAATCTTAAAAAAAAAAATGTACAGGATAAAGGGACCAGTGGGATCAAGCGCTGTGCATCTTCATTTTATTGTAGAGAGAGAAACACAATAGGAAAGACGGAGCTCCCTCCGGGTTTCTATACATTTTCAGAAGAAACTGCCGCAATATTACTTCTGTGTCCAGCCTCCCTGGTTCAAGTGAAACCAAAGGAATAAACCCACTGAGGGGCATGAGAAGCAGCCCCTCTGTCCTCAACCTTCAGCTGCTGTGTGAAGATAAAATCACCTCCAAACGTGGCCTTCCAGCCGGGTGGGTACACCACTAGCTCGCCCCGCCCCCCAGGGCGAAGCCCCCCACCCCCCGCCCCCTGAAGCTGCGGGACATCATGCCACGGATGGAGGGAGCCGTGGACACCACCCGCGTGCGCACCCTTCCCCACAGAAGCCACTGCCCTCGTGCAGCAGGTGCAGCTGAAACATGCCCCGCCGGGTCTACTGGTGAGAAGGACACACGGATCCTAAGGAGCTGCTATGGCAAAGGCGAGCAGACGCTCCAGGCACCAAGTGAGGTGGACGCAGTTGTGAACACTACCCGTCGGGGGATAAGGGGGCGGGACGCACAACGGCTGTGGTTTCTGGAAGGCTCTGCGAGGTGGGGTCGAGGTTACAGAGGCTGGCAGCGCAAATACACTCGTCCCGAGGCTTAAAGACCACAGGCAAAGAAAGGGAGGCGATGCACTGGGCTGCCTATTTTTAATTTATTTCTTTTAAGACCACCTCCTTGCAATTTCCAGAGAGAAAATACAAAACAAGAAACAGACTTCGTTTCAAATACATAAACAGTGTGCTGGAGTTTAAAGCGTTACTGATAACATTGTTACAGAAGAATGTCAGCTTACTCCAGGGCACTTCAGTATTCCTGAGGAATAAACATGATTTCTCTTCTCCTCCCACTGGGATGTTCTCAGGTGCAAGTCACTGCTCCTCCTCCTGGAAAGGAAGGACACTCTGATTAGGAGTGTGCAGACAGCATTTGGACCACCGTCTCCGACCCAAGGGACCATGGGCCCCAAACCTTGACACCCTGTTTGCTTTACAAAACGGTCTCCCAAGAGAACTGTGAACACCCCTCCCAGGGCCTCAAGAGTGGCTCCCTAATCTTGGCGGGAGGACAGGGGCACCAGAGTCAGTACCCGCACAGCTCTTCCTCACACTCATCAGAGGGCTGCATCAGAAGTGGGCGGACGCAGCGTGGCTCTGGAATCGAACAGCCAACTACCGATGGGACCTCGGGCAACTTTCTTAACCAGAGTAAGACTGCAGTTCCTCATCTGCTGAAGGAAGGCAAGGAAAACCTCTCCCACTAACCTACTAGGAGGGAGGTCTCGAGAAAGAACAGAAAGGTGAGGCATCCAGGAGGGGCCCTCAACAGGCCCCAACCATGAGGTGACTACCTTGAAAGAGCCCCGTGCTGTGCCTGCCTCTGCAGAGAATGGAGGGTGACCACCCAGAGGCACAGACTCAAGTCCAGATACAGTTACAAGGCCATTTTGGAGCAGTACACACAAGGCTGTTAAAAAGGAACAATATTTTCCACAGTAGCTCCCAGCCATGAAATGTATAATACGCATATAATCACCCCTGAGCCACTATCCATGACAACTGGGTCTGGAACAATGAAAACATTCTGAGCAATTAAAAGACCTGAAGCTCCTCTCCGGTTCCTTTCTGTTCTCCCCCAAATCCAGCTGTGGTGCCAAGAAAGCAAAGGGTCAGGGAGCGGTGGAAACTGCCTGTTGCCAGCTTTGGTACCACGCAGCTGCGCTTCTTCTCGTCCCTGTGAGGATCTCACCCGGGCTCTGGTGCAGGGACGGGACACTAACCTGGAGGGCAGCGGAGGGCGGCCAGGCTCCCCAGCCAGACAGCTCCCACTGCTCCCGGTTCTCTGGCTGAGCACGCGAGGGCTGGGGGCCCAGCAGGCACTGGGTGGTCTGAGTGGGTTCTAAGACAGAGGCTACTGAGCTGTGGTGGGGACTGTCCTTTGAGCTTTGGTGACCCTTGTGGCTCCAGCTTTTGACCACTCGATGGTACCACCTCTTCCGCTCTACTTGTTACTTCGGAGGAACAATGGGTAAGTCAATCACCCTTTCGGGGCTGGCCTCGACTATTACCGCCAACATTCCTATTGATACAGCACCTCACAGCTTAAAATCATTTTCACACTGAATTCTCACAGCAACCATGTAGGTAGAAATTATTACCCCCATTTTATAGACAGAAGTGAAAACTCAAGATCACAGAGGAAGCAAGCGATGGGTGGTCCAGGACCCACACCCTGGGCTCCTGGCTTCTGGGCATTTCCCCCTCGTCCCCTGCTGCTGCCCAGATCATAGTGACTCTAGGTCACGGGCGACCCAGAAGGGAGAGGAATCTACACATCCAGGCAACAGGACACTGCACTGAAGCTGCTGTTGCTACAAAGATTTTGCCTTAGTAAGCCCGAGGCCACAAACACATCTAATAGGAAATACAGTTTACTTCACTCAGTCATTTCCTATTTATCTGAGTGTCTACTTTGTTCCAGGCCCTGGGGATACAAAACTAAATACCACCCCTGTCCTTGAGCACCCAGCCTCCCATGATCCTTTCCCCCCAAACCCCACAGTAACCAATCATCTAAAGTAAGGCAATGGGAAGAACCTCAGGAGACGTGCCACCTTCTCCCTCCTGAGGTGCGGGCCACAGGTTTTCATCCTGTCCCCATTATTAAAATCCACCTGTAGACAAGGACTTCAGCAGAATCACATGGGACTTAGAGTGGAGAACCTCCCCTCTTCAACAAAAAGTGAAAGAATGCTGAGTCCCAGCTGTCTTTAGGTTTAGCTGGAGCACGTGTGAGATGTTGACAGGGCACTCTGAGATCTTGAACATAAGTGCTACTTATAGATAATTGAAGATAAATCTACTGTACCGTGATGATAAACTTTTCCAGGCAGGTTCATCCATTCTACTCGCTCACATAAGCTTATATACGTGAATGCACAGGTGTATCTCAAGCCACAGTGGAAAGGACAGACTTTAGGCACCAAAGCTGTGTCAACATCACTAAAGGCCGAAGAGCAAATTAAGAGCTCAGTGGTGCCACAATGACACACACCGTTTATTAATTATATGTGCTCCAAAGAACTCCTCAGGGACTCTGCAGAAATTGTTTTTAAAAGAGAAGTATCAGTTCTATACATACTTTGACGTATTTTCCGTGTAGAAGATATGGAGCCTGGAAATCATGCTGACAGTTGGAGTAGGCCATTCCCAATCCCATGCCAGAACCAAAGGCTAATGGCCACATTCTTCCTAGTGAGCAGAAAAAGGAAAATCCCAATAAGGAACCATTAAGAGAAGATAAAGCTTTTTCTCTGGCTTCAATACATTTATTTGCTTAGGGTTCAATAAATATTCACATGCATCTTATTGATGACTGCAACATGCCACACATTTCTATCAATGTTCAATCAACAGTTAAAAACCAGGAAAGGGAGTCTATTACTGAATTTATCAATTCAGTAAATATTTATTAAGTACCTATGCCGCTAGGTTCGAGGTCTTAACAAGTGGTGCAATATGAAAACAGTGGACACAGTCGAACCTTTGAATTTTATATATACGTTCTAATCATTGGCTCATTTTAACTAATTTCTTAACCTTAACAGAAATACTATCTTTGAATTTTAAATGGAATCAGTGAATTTTGATTGCAGTAAGTCATAAAGCTTATTTATGCCAATACCGTTAAGTGATGATTTTGCATCAGCACTGTGTATTATGATTATCTGGTAATGTATTCCCCCACCGATTCTTCACGGAAAGGGGTCAAAGTGACCCCTTTGGCTTCTATTCAATAACCAAATTCCAGAATTTCTTCCACAGAATGAAAGGGATATTGTCTGCCCTTTGCTTAGGAGAATTTCTGGCCAAAAGGCATGTGTACTTTTGGTCTACTTGTTTTTGTGACCAGCAAGACTCATTTTCAAGTTCCTTTAGAAAAAATTATAATTAATTAGAAATATTTGAGCATGCAGATTTGGCCAAATGACTCACTGGCATAAAGTACAGGCTTTTCAGATGATATCATATTGAAGATATCAGGCACCCTGACTCAACGCCCAGGGGGAACTCTGGAGGTGCCCAATCCACTCTGACCTCTTCTGAGTCCACATTCTCTGTCCAGCACCTTTGACTGTCGCCCACCTACACCCATAAACGGACAGGGTGGCAACCACACAGCTGTGCCCTCCAGAAGTGTGCCTGCTGTGTGTGTGTGTGCGAGAGAGAGAGAAAACGTGCACAAGAACATTATGCTGAAAAGGTAGTGGTAAAAGTCACACTTACTTTTAAAGAAGGTAAGTGAGAAAACAAGTCCTAATCCAAAACCAGTACCTACAAAGAGGGAGGAAAAATGTTAAATCTTGTAACAGTAACTTAACAAAAGTAAAATGAATATTTCATAAATGTAAACATCTAAAAAACAAATTTTTTCTTAAATAATTTGGAACCGAGTTGATTTTCTCATTTCTAACCTTATCGTCAGAGGCTTTACAGATGCCTTCAGTCCTTCTGCCTACAACAGGGGAGAGAAACTTTATTCCCAATTCTGTCTAGACAAGTCTGGCAGGGTAGGGAAAGGAGCCAAGAGACAGTTCTTGAGCAGACGCTCCGGGCCCCGCTTGCAAACAACGTCTGGCACCTAGGGCGCTCCTAGTCCTCTGCCGTAGGGGTGCCTGAGCCAGAGCATCAGACTGTAAACAGTGTCAACTGGAAGCTCCCCTTGTCAGTTTAGCATTTTGAGTGATGGCTACTTTTTGAGGAATAGGGAAAGGAGTGATCCGGAACATTCCCAAAGGCTGTCACATGTCAGACACAAGTCAGAGACCTCGGACAGAAGGAAAGCGTCTCCTCAAAAGCCCCGAATGTGGAGATTAGTCCCCTTCTCTCGTTTTTACTCATGGCGCATTTTCAATCACTATCTTTCAAAATAAAAGAACAAATGCAAGCCTATTTTAATGGTCTAGAATAAAAAAAAAAAGTAAATACCTAATTTTCAATCAAACCTCACAGGAACCTAAGCTTGTGGGGGAAAAAGACCAGATCCTCATCTTTACCAGTATTTCTCAAACCTTGGTCATTCTAGTGCTGCCATCACAATTTTTGCTAAATCGACATTACCTTCACAATTACTTGTTTAAAAAAAAAAAGCTAAGAAAATCAATGCATGTATTTAATTAAATGAATTTGGCCTGAACTTAAATAATATTGGTGTAATCATAGCTTTGAATGCTAGATGTATCTTTCTCATAAGATGTGTTAAAATGAGGGGCACGTGGGTGGCTAAGTCGGTTAAGCGTCTGTCTTCGGCTCAGGTCATGATCACAGGGTCCTGGGATTGAATCCCGCACTGGGCTCCCTGCTACTCGGGGAGCCTGCTTCTCCCTCTGCCTCTCTCTCTGTCTCTTCTCATGAATAAATAAATCAAACCTTTAAAAAACTGTGTTAAAATGAATGTAGAACCATTAAAATTTTTTTTTTTTTTGTCTGTGGTACCATTTTGGGGGGGGAAATCACCCCCCCATACTATAATAATACATGTCCCAAATATTGAAGTAAACTCATTTTTCCATTATCAAAAAAGTTATACACGCCAAGGAAGAGAGCCAAGGTCTGATTTTATATTTGTTTTTCAGACTTGACAACTGTTTTCAGACCTTTCAGAGTATTCTGAGGTTCTTTACAAAGCGTCTACTCCAGGGTCCAACTGAGCCCCCAACCAACCTCTTGACAATTAAGCACCACAAAAAAGTCCCGATTCTCACTTTGCCCTAATAGTTTTCCAATTTTGGCTGTTGGAATTCTAAGAGATTCTTCTCTGTCTAACCATGATTTTAGGCTACTGCAGTGTAAACACTCAAAGTACTTCCCTGGTCACCAACGGGACCTCTCTGCTCTAAACACAGAACTTCGGTACAACTAAGCAAGCTAATTCACATCAGTTTTCATCCACCCATGTAACCACCCAGTTGATGGTGGCGTGAAGAAAGTATTTATGCCACTTACTCAGAATGATTTCTTATCATTCTCTCGTGCCACAAACATGTGGCCATGGTGTAGGTTCCTCTCCTATGACTGCATCCTATACAAATATGAATTTTCATTACAAATCATGACTTTGCCCCCTGTCCAACAGACCCTGCATTAGGTTTAGTGCTCAACTTTAAAATGCAGTATCTTTTTTTTTTATATTTTATTTATTTATTTGACAGAGAGAGACACAGCGAGAGAGGGAACACAAGCAGAGGGAGCGGGAGAGGGAGAAGCAGGCTTCCCGTGGAGCAGGGAGCCGGATGCGGGACTCGATCCCAGGACCCTGGGATCATGACCTGAGCCAAAGGCAGATGCGTAACAACTGAGCCACCCAGGCGCCCCTAAAATGCAGTATCTGAAAATCACCCATGTCACCCTAATGTCCATGTAATTTATAATATGGTGGAAAGCCAGGCAGCTTACAGACCACACCAGTTAAACCTGTTCAAAGCTAACATCATCTGAAGGAAAAGGAACTAACATTTTGGTATTTCCCATGAGTACCCACAATTTTCTCCCCCTCCCTGCCCCCAAATTCTCTTTCAAACCAAATGACAACCTGATCCGGTATTATCCCCCATTTTTCAGATGCAGAAAATAATTTGCTCAAGGGTACTCCGTTTAGTTAGTGGTAGAGCAGTGAACGGGGCCCAGGTCTGCAAGACTCCAAAGCCACTCTACCCACTATGTCTTGACACTGGAGTCCCCTACAATTTCAACCCCGACACAATCACTACCTCCCAAGGGGAAGTTGGAGTGTCAAGATTTCTACTGCCAGTGAAGTAAGATACAGCCAAAAACCAAATTGTGCTTCCCACGCAACAGCCCAGAACGCTCGGCAACCAGGCCAGTAACAAGTCTGCACAAGGCCAAAAGGGCTTGTTCAGATTCATTCCCAGACTGATCCTACCGCACATGTCACAGACCCAAGTCCACTTGGTAGGTGAGATTCAAGAGCTTCAGAGAAATGCGAGCTATCTCAATTGATACTCCTTGGCGAGAATCTGCTGTTGCCCGGTTTATAAAATGGCACCGGGTTCAATTTCAAAGCAACTTGCCTCACCCCCTTGCAGCTGGAAGATGAGTAAGGCAGTAAATTGGTACTAGAAAATGAGGTAAAGGATTTGGACTGGCTTACAGATTTCAAACCAGGCAATGGGATGGGGAGGTAGGCCAGTAAAAACATAATGGCTTACAATCAGAGCTTTTGGTCTTCTCCATCTGGAAGGCAATTTTTTGGCAAACAAATCAAAAGCCCAAAAGGAAAATATTTCAGCATTTTTCTTGTCCCTCTGACTCCATGCCTGTCTCTCCTATTTTTCCCCAAGGAAAGAAAGCTCTCAGATGCTCAACTTTTCCAAATAGTAGACCAAGAATGATGGTAATCCACTGCTACCAGCATCGCTCACCACAGAGATGAGAAATGTCTCAACATCAATCAATACAGCACAAAATATCTTTACCCTAGACACTTAAGCTCAGGTATATGCCCAGCACCTAGTTCTGCTCCCAGCAAAGGCACCTATCTGCAAGTCTGAGACCAAAATCCCAGTTCAGACTAAGCAAAAGATGGTCTCCAACTGGGCTGCTACCTCTTTGATTCTTAAGAGTGATCCCCCCCCCCCAACCGTCTCTGTATTTTTAAGACACAAAATAACAAGACCGGTCTCTTCAGAAAAAAATAATACAGAAACTGATTTTTTCAATGCCAATGTTTGATTTAAACTTAGCTATCTCAGTTATTTGAGAGATTAGCAACGGTGGAGCCGCTGATGAGTTTTACAGGCTCAAGTTCTCACATGCTGGATTTCTTTTAAAAGGCAACATGGTGCTTCAAAGAAGTCCCACCTGATCCGGGGACACCCACTCTGCAGCTGTTTCCACTAAAGACTGGCACCTCTAGGCCACGTTTAAACTTCATAACAATAAAACATGAAAGGTTTGTCTTACAATAAAAACAAATCAACATGGAAAAGAGAAGAGTTTTTTCTGCCTTTGGCCACTTTTTTCTGTTGTTGCATGACAAGTTCTCTTAGAGGAAAAAAGCCAAAGGAAAAAGTACAAAGCATTTTTCACCTTCCCTGGAAGCAAATATTTAACTATGAATAAAGTTTATATAACTTCGCCTTCCCCCCACTCAAGCCTGTTCTTTTGCTCCATGCTGTCTGGAATGACAAATCACCCTCCAAAGGAAAGAAATGCCTGATTACAGGTACACATCTTCTTCGTGGCAAAGTCCAGTTATGAGGGGAAGGAGGGGGGCAAGGCGCGCGCGCGCACACACACACACACACACACACACAGAGGAGCCTTATGGAATTGACATTAGGCAAGGAGCCCATGCTCCAAAACCATTTCTTTTGGAGAGGAAAAAGAATTGGCACAAATTCTTTCAAAAAGAAATTACTCCAAATCAATCTAACCCTGCACTTCAGTGCATGTTTAGTGCCCAAATGGACATCATAAAGCTTGCTAGTAGAGAAACACAAATTTTCAGGAAGGGCCAATTCCTTAGCAGTTCATCTGATACTATTTTATTTTTATTTTTATTTTTATTTTTTTTAAAGATTTTATTTATTTATTCATGAGAGACAGAGGGAGAGAGAGAGCGAGAGAAGCAGAGGGAGAAGCAGGCTCCCAAGGAGCAGGGAGCCCGATGCGGGACTCGATCCCAGGACCCTGGGATCATGACCTGAGCCGAAGGCAGACGCTTAACCATCTGAGCCACCCAGGCGCCCCTATCTGATACTATTTTAATAACAAAACAAGAAAGAACTCACTCCTGCTAACAACACGTAAAATACATATAAAATATTGCTGTATCTTATGCCCAAGCGGATTTTGTAACAGATTTAAAAGAATAACAACCCAAAGCAGTACGTCCATGTATGCCTGAAGCCACATTCTGTGTAAGAAGGGGAGGACAGAAATATATGTTGACAGCCATTACTGTGACATGTGGACAACTTCTGGTTCCAACTTTATTTAGAAAAATCTTTGCTCTCACCATGCCACCTAGCATAAAGCTTCACTTCACTGCAAATCACTAAGAAGCAAGCATAATCAGCAAGAATTAACAAGCAGGCCACACAATTGGGTTGCAGTCTTGGGGTAGAAGTGTACTTTGGATGTGAGCCCCTACAGAACAAGTTGGAGCAATCCATGCTCCCGCAGAAGCGACTTGGTAAAAAGTTGCACTTGCCAACAGACTTTAGGCCAGGAGGAGGGACTCATTGTTTGGAGGGGCACAGAAAAAAAAAAAATCCTCATTAAGTCACTTAGAAAACATGTCCAGGAAAGAT